CCATGAATATAGTTCTTCTGTTCCTTTTTAAAATTTTTAGTTTAGACGAAAGTTATGATTGTGACTAGAAAAAAAAAATTGTGATTTTAATAGAGAATTTTTTTATTTTAGAAAAATTAATGTGATTTTGAACATTTTGGCTTATTAGATTTATTAATCAGTGATCAAGAAAAATTTATCGAAAAAATTACGATTTGAAGATTTTATAAATATAAATTATGATAGGTTATTAAGTTTTCCTTAGAAAATTTCAAATTGTTGATATATTTCGTAAATATAGTTACTAAAATATCAATTTTTAATTTATTATATTTATTTTGCTTCTGAAGTAAATCTTTTCTTTTTTTTATAAAAAAAATTAACTTTTATATTTATAATTATCCACCCGCAACCGCAAACGTTTGAGGAAAACAGCTTTTGAATTTGAGAGATTTGGAACGACACGGAACGGTATAAGGTGTTTCCCATGATTTTTGTCAAACGCCAACAACCACTACCACCCGCAAATGCAACGTTTGCGGGTGGTAGCGGGTGAACCAATCAACTCCTTAGTGTTTAGATAGATTAAACCACCAAACTTATGCGTGCCCACAGGCCACAACAATCAATGTATTACTTGCGATCTACCAACAATTAACAACAACGCAGAGATAAACGAAGAAAACATAAACAGATGGGGAGGAATTACAGAACACTGTTTTAATAAAATGATAGAAAGAAGTCGAAGAAATAGAACAAATGGTGTGTGTTTTGGTGTGAGGAGCACCAATAAACAGAATAGAGCAAAATGAATAGACAAAAATCGAGGACAGGTCAAAGGGTCGTCGTTGTCCTCAAGGCAGGCATGTGAATATGCAATACAAAACCAAAAGAACAAATCCTCACACGTTACAGGTAGCCACAAACCACACAACTTACTAAGCAATTTTATACTGTATTTATCTGCTTCCTCAATTTGGACACCAATACTATCTTTTTCTCCCTTACTCACCCGCTTTCTCAGCCTTGGTCTCTGCTTCAGTTTCCGGTTTCGGCTCTGGTTTTGTTTCGGGCTCTGGTTCCGCTTCAGATTTGGGGTTTGATACGGTTTCCAATTCAGGATTGGGGTTTGATTCAAGTTCCATTTCAGCATTGGGGTTTGGTTCAGGCTCCGGTTCAGCATTGGGGCTTGGTTCACTTTTGGGAGATTCAGTCTTATCAGGTCGGAATTTAACAACAATGCATGTGATGTTGTCTGCGCTGCCACGGGTGAAGGCAGTGTCGGTTAACTTGCGGGCAGCTGCATCGGGTTCCTCCTCGCTCTGAGCAAGGGAAACCGCATCCTGAATCCAACCCAATCAGAAAATTGGTTTAGACATATGCAAATCTATTAGCAACAAGGAGAATTTATCTGCGAGTCATACCTCATTCGGTACCACATCCCATAAACCGTCACTTGCAAGCACAAGAAACTCAGCTTCGTGATCTATCTCTATATCCTGCAAATTACGCAGAAGAGTGTTCACAAAACCTCAAACACTCAAGGGTTTCACATGGTTGATACATAACACCCTCAAGGGATATAGCAGTTAGAAGCGGTTACTTGTATCTCGGGTTCAGCAACAACGAATTGCTTCAGCATTCGATTACCAAAGGCCCGGGACATTGCCAAGACCCCACCTACCCTCCATGTTCCTGACAAGGCAAATCCAGATGATATTACTTTCAACATATGCTGAAAAATAAAACCAGAGGGAAGACTTGAGAGCAGGCCTCAATATATAGAACGTTTGGATAAGATGGTTTGTGGGTCAGTGTTCTCTAAGAACTTAATAATAGTATTAGACCTAAAAGCAGATAAATATAAAAGACAAGAAACATTTAATGAAGCCAAGTGATCTGACTCCGGAGGGCAATCTCTGTAATCTCGCTTTGTCATGTTCAGAAGCTAGCAACCAATTATAGTGGGACAAAAGAGAGGAACGATTTCTTATAATATTAGCCTACCTGCCCACATGATAACACCTCCCGCGCTTTCAATTCGCTTTCTTTCATCACTTCTATTTGGCTTATGATCATCAGATAGTGCAATCGCTGAGAACATGAAACACTAAAACATTGATAAGGGCGTCCTTATGAAAAGAAAACAACAAAAGCTTTGTGACCCATTATAAGAGTCCATTCACTGTAAACTTAAGGTTAAATGTTCTCTAAAGAATTGCATAATTCCATTTCCTAAACTCATTTTTGGCTGAAGCTCTCAATTTATTTTCAAATGATATGCCACATTGTTTTAGATTAGGACAAAATACTGACCTTTCCCAGCTTTAGAAACTATTGTCCTTGAGTCTCCAACATTTGCAACAAACAAATGATTCCCCACCAAGACAGCAGTAGATGCTGTGGAGCCATCATCTCTGTAAGTATCTTTTTCCGACTCAAGGAATGCTACATCAGTTTGTTTATATGTTTCACCTGCAAAATTGGTCAAGTTAGAAGATGAACCATGACTTCTATCAAGCGGTATGAACTCATACTTCTGAGAGATTATGTATAAAAAAATCTTATTTCAAGAGCCATAGAGCGCACTTAGTGCCAACTTGGTGTCTGTCATAAACTGTGGGTGCTTCATAAGATTGTCAAAGAGGTGTTCCTTCAGGTACTCAGCAGCACGTGAACCACCATGACCTGTGATGATTAAAGCTTCAGAAATTATAAGAGGAAAACTAAAGATCAAGTCAACATATGATCCTGCTTCTGACTATTATATGAACACATATTGATAGTTCAACTGTCCACTGCACACTATAATATCCTAGACAGTCTACCAGAAAACCCAGAAGCAGCAGTCAGCATGTACAAATACAAACTCTAACTAAGGCAATTCGAGATCCTTCTTAAAAATAGTAGACATAACATATATGAGCAGCCAGTTTAATGTAGAATTAACAACTTAAATCTGCAACTGATGTTGGACTATGTTTTAGCTCAGCCATGTCTATGTTGAGATCGATATATAGAATCTAACCATCAAATATTCCAAACATGCAAACTGTTTGGCCTTCAATCTTGGAAGCTTTAACATCGTAGAAGTCTTCCATCGTAGATCTTTTCCCTCTGAAACTACAGTACCCACAGCTCAAGCTTCCATCGTCACTGTCATTGCACATAACTTTTAGTAAGGACTACTTAAAACAAATGAAAAGAGTAGATTGTGCCTACACAACAACATCAAGCGTCAACATATAGTGGAAATTAGTTTCTTCCATGATATAATCATCTGTATAAGCAAAACAAATTTGGTGAAACAAATGACGAGAACATGTAACAGGTGAAAACAACTACAACAAATACGACCATCTTGCTTGCATTTCACACTTAAAGTGGAGCATGGCTGTCAGATGAATGCTTACCAAACAGGAATTGCTTTCTTCAGTACAATTCTTATATTTCAATAGCCCTATAATATACCTAAGGCATTTTCTACATTTAGTACCAACCATTAAAAAAAAAACACAGATCCAACAAATGAGATCTACTTACTTTTTCCACCCACCACCGATGTATCCACCATCATCGACTTTCTCAGGCGGCATATCAACTATAGACACTCGTTTCTCTCCTGCAGAAGAATCTACCATCATCTTTGCACTAGTTCTAAATCCGAAACCAACACTCAAGGTCTTCTTAATATGGCTAAACTGCTGTCTTCCTTGAGCAAACACCCCAAAATGACCAGCCTGAACAATGACACTCCTTATGAAATTGCTGCATACCATCTAAGAAAGCAAGTCTTGCCTTCAATCAGTTTCTCCAATGCAGGAGCTGCGCAGAGAAAAAAAATGATCTGTAATTAGTCTAATTCCTAAATCAGCAAAGCGAAGATACCACATCTAATTGCCCATTCAATAGATTGGAGAATATGAGCTACTTCAACAGTACATAACACGATCATCTCCTACATATGAGCTAAGATATCACTCAAACACAGATCCTAGATCACTACCAAAACCCTATCTATACGGATAAGCTAAAAAACACAAGTGAATTATTATCAAATTAACTAGATCCTGCGTATCCAACGAAACAGATGATAGAAATCAACCAGTGAATCACGAGCAATAACGAAGAGAATAAAAAAGCGATCCAAATCTTACATCATAAACAATCAGATTCATCAAAATCGAACAAGGAAAAGGATCGAAGTAGAGGAAAAACTAACAGGTATCTTCTCGAATCGGAAACAAAATTCCAATCAAATCAAGGATCTGTTGCAGGGAAGCGAATCCTAGTATTCACAGAGCTCTGGAGAAAGAATCGAATCAGATTTTAAGAACGGATCGGAAACACGCGGCTGGCTTTACCACGGATCCGAATCTGAGAGAAAAAAATATTTGGTGAACGAATCAGCTTTTTGGAGCTTCCATGGAATCT